CCTGGGCATAGATGGCTACTGAGCTCACTGCTCTTAGATTTGGAAAAACAAATTTAATAATGACACGTTACTTTAAGATGACTAATTCAGAGCAATAACAAATATTCACAATAATAAATACAACTAAAGATAATAATATATATTTTAAAAATTGGATCTTAGTAATTTGTATCAGTATTGAAGTCCATATCTATAATATTAAATTAAAAACTACATGTCAATCAAAAAGAACAAAGCTTTGAAAATTCGAGAGAAACATGTATGAAAAGTTCCTAGAGATCACAAGCTGACCATTAGAGAGTTGGTAAAAGGTTGAAAGAACAAATAAAGATGATCCTACAAGTAGAAAGATCCACAGAAAGAATACTAGAGATTGTAGGTTTCAGGGATCTTTGCAATAAAAATAGTTATTTTGTTCAACTGAGAAGCAGGAAACAATGTTGGATGGTGAGCACTGACACAGGTTGATGAAGAGCACTAAAAATGTCAACCTAATTGTTCCTATAAATTATAGCATTTGTCTAAATTTAATATAGAATTTACTTCTAATATAAAGAGTATATAAAGCTTATTACTTGAGAGCAAGGTAATAACAGATTCAGGCCTATAATATTCTATATAGCAGTTTAAGGGTGAGGAGATTAACTTATTCATTTCTTTATTTCTCCAAATCCTAATTTTTAAAAAGTAATCAGAGTTCTCTGTAAAACTAGGATTTGTGGCAAACAAAAACTCATTTAGATAAACACATAACATTGTTTTATACATGGCTTTCAAATGCCTATAACAATGACATCCTAAGTAAACAGAAAGAAAAATTCTAAAGTTTATACAGGACCTCAAAAGACACTGAAAAACCAAACCAATCTTGAGCAAGAACAAAGGTCAAGGTATCACACATCCTGATTTAAAATGTTACAAAGCTACAATGATTAAAACAGTATAATAATTTTGTGAAAGCAGGCATCTAAACTCATGGAACAGAAGAGCAACCAGAAATAAATCCATGCTTTAATAGTCAATCAGCTTAGATAACAGTGCCAAGAACACACAATAGGGACAAAATGGCCTTGTTAACAAATGATGTCAGAAGAACTGGATATCCATAGGCAGAAGAGTGGCTAAAATCAACTCAAGATAGATTTGAAACTTTCATTTAAGAACTGAAAGTGGATGTACTACTGTGTGTATATCCAAAAGAAATGAAGTTGAGGGATGGAATCAAACCAAGTGTTCATCAAAGGATAAATGGATGCAGAAAATGTGGGAAATGCACACACCAGAATAACATTGTCCATAAAAGCGAGGCAATCTTGTCATTTGCAACCACATACATGAACCTGCAGAACTTTAAGCTAAAGTGAAACAAAGAGAGGCACAAAAAGGTACATACCACCTGACCTCACTTGTATGGAACTTAGAGAAGTTGCATCCATTCAAGTAGAGAGTGCAATGGTTGTTGAAAAGGTGGTTCAAAGGCAGGGAAAGGGTCATAGAGAAATGTTGGTCAAAGGACACAAAATTTCAGTTAAATAGTAGGAAATAAATGACCCTATGTCAAAAAATTTCAAGAGGAAAACAGGCAAAAGCTTCTTAGCATTGGTTTGGCATTGGTTTTTGTAGAAAATACACCAAAAGTAGAGACAACAAAAGCAAAATTAGACAAGTGGGAGAACATCCAACTAAAAACCTTCTTGCAAGCAACATAAACAACCAGCCATGTAAAAATAAACTACAGAATGGGATAAAAATATTAGCAAACCATATCTAATAAGGGGTTAATTTTCAAAGTGTATAAGAAATAAATATGAGCAAATAACTTGAAAATACGTTTCTCAAAAGTTAATACAGAAATTGCCAATTGATACATGAAAAGTTATTCCACATCACTAATCATCAGGGAAATTAAAGTCAAAATCACAATGAGCTATCACAACAATTAGGATGGCTAAGAACAAAAAGATAAAAGATTACATGTGTTGATGAGGTTATAGAAAAAAGAACACTTGTATGCTGTTGATTGGAATGTAAATTGGTATAGCCGTTATGGAAAACATCCTAGAAATTCCTCAAAAAATAGAATTACCATATAATCCAGCAATATCACCTCTAACTAGAAAGTCAAAGGAGGTAATGTCAATATTTCAGAGAGATACCTGCCCTCCCTATTTATTGCAGCATTATTTCACAATAACCAAGATACAGACATTTATCAAGGAATAAATGGGTAAAGAAAGTATGGAGTAAGAGTATTCAAACCTAAAAAAAAAGGAAATCCTGCCATTTGCAAAACATGTATGAAAATTGAGGGTATTATGTTAAGTGAAATACACCAGGTTCAAAAACAAAAATACTACATCATCTCATTCAAATGTGGAATATAAAATGGTCTAGTAATCAAACCTGTAGCAGCAGAGAATGGAATAGTATGTCTGGAATCTTCGGGATGGGAGAAATAAAGAGATATTGGACAAAAAGTACAAAGTTTCAGTCATGCGAGATAAATAAGTTCTGGAAGTCTAAGGTACAGCATGGTCACTAAGTTAACACTGTATCATATACTTGAATTTTGCTAAGAAGCTGTGTCTTTAGTGTTCTCACTACAAAAAGAAAAAGAAAACTGTGTGAGGTGATATATATATTAATTTGTGCTGATCATTTCACAAAGTAAATGAAAACATTATGTTGTACATCTTATATACATACAATCTTTTTTAAAATGTTTATTTTTATTTTTTAGTTATATGTGGACACATATTTTTATTTTATTTTTATGTGGTGCTGAGGATCAAATCCAGTGCCTCACAGATGGTAGGCAAGCGCTCTACTTCTGAGCCACAACCCCACCCCAAATACATACAATTTTATTTGTTAATTATATTTTTTGAATTTGCAAAAACTAATTTGTTAATTATATTTTTAAAGCTGAATAAATATTATTACAGAATATCTATCTCCTTATGGAAAACAGGAGAGTATGAAAATTTAGAAACTTTAATAAGTCTCAAAAATAGGCATAAAAAGAAGATCACAGGTTGGTATTGTACCTCTGTCGTGGTGTGCTTGCCTAGTACATGTGAGGCACTAGGTTCCAGCCTTAGCGCAACATAAAAATAAATAAGCAAAATAAAGTTATTATGTCAAAAAAGGACAGATTACTCAGTTTACCTATTGTTAGAAAGCTACAATATCAAAAAAACATCTTAAAATGTGTATTATAAGTCAAAAACATGCTTTGATAGAACCAGCATAGTTGTGGATTTCTAAAAGATTTCCAGAATGTTCTGTGAGTTACTGATGAGCTTCACCATAAGAAATGCAAACTTAACTCTTCAAACTCTAACACTCAAATACAAATTGCATTTTATAGTTTGAATGGTGGATCAGAAGCCTTTCCTAATCCATGGAGATGCAGCCAACACCTCTCCACCCTCCTATCAAGTTCTCTTTATACACAACTCTATGTATTGGAAGAAATTATCCACAGCTATTAGAAGTGCAGAAGGATGACAGCCCTCAGAGGTCAGCACTCTTAATGAGAAAGGCTTCCAGGGCAGACTTCCAAGGACTGATCAGCACCAGGGATCAAGACCCAACTTCCTTGTCTCAACGCAGGATCCCTCAAAAGGGCCATCCCAGCCACAGATTTCCCCATGGAAGTGACAGAGGTCAGACATTACTGCAGCATGGGGTCTTCCTCTCTCCAACCTGCTTCTTTCCCAGGCCCTGTGCTTAATCTGAAGCATAGGTGTGGTCTCTTCAATGGGACTAAAGGGTATTTTTGAGGACAGAGCCTTTACTTTGTCAGTAATACCTATCTACTGAGCCCAGAAGCCTTGAACTTAATTACTTATTAGGGTTTTTTTTTATATAGAATCAAAACAATCACCCCAGCATCAAGAAATAAAGTATCCTATCTAATGTACCACAGATTCATTTCAAAAAGAACAAAAGGGCAGTCAGTTAGGGTAGATAGATGATGGGGTGGGCAAGATGGGGCCTAATTCAAAAGGAAATAAAATCCTAATACCTCCAGAACACTCCCTCTGCCTCACAACCTGTTGCCAATGTTACTTCCCCTCCAGGGAATTGTTCCTCCCAGAAAGGAGTTATTAATGAGTACTTTCTGGGAGCTCCTTTCCCACCTTTTGGGTTAATCCCACCTTTTGGTCTTATAGGCAGTATAGGAAAAGGGGGCATGAGAATAAAGGAAACATGAAATCTATATAAGGACAGGATTCACCACATCCCATGGATACTAACACTGAATCACCACCCCCTACCCAGAAGAAGTCTGTTTCTATTTTATCCTTTAAATAAAACTTCTTTTCTGTACTACATCGGCATTGCTCTGGTATTTAATTTCAACACCAGGGAAATAAGGACCTTATCCTGATTTCCAAGACCTGTTTCAGGAAGATTCAAGATTCAGTTTGCAGGGCTGGGGATGTGGCTCAAGCGGTAGCGCGCTTGCCTGGCATGCATGTGGCCCAGGTTTGATCCTCAGCACAAATACAAACAAAGATGTTGTGTCCGCCAAGAACTAAAAAATAAATATTAAAAAAATTCTCTCTCTCTCTCTCTCTCAAAAAAAAAAAAGATTCAGTTTGCCTTATTCACTATAGTTCTGTTTCCAAATTTCACAAATAGATCAAAGCAGTTAAATTGTAAAGGATCATAAGGCAATAAGGAGAAAATTCAGCATACTGAGGATCTGAGACTCACTGCCTCCTCTCACCTTTTCCACATCGCCCAGGCCCTCAGTGTCCAGAAGGACCAGGGTGTGGTTTGGCTTGTTGGGGTGGGGCACACACCACATCCAGATGCCCTTGGTTTCAGATTGCACTGTGGATCCCAGAGGAAAGCCTGCAAGGGAAGAGGAGAGAGCAGCACATGGTAGGAGCAGATCTTCTAAGCAGCCTAGAACACACATAGCCAGAAGTCTTGGATTGTAAATACCACAGTAGTCAGGATGGTGCATTCTCTATTTCCTCTTACTTTGCAAGCCACCTGTTTCAATGTGCAGAGGTCATTAAACATGAGAGTGATAGCATTCTCAAGATGATGGCAATATCAAAATCTCAAGAACCACATAAGCAAATTGGCTATCTTGTATGGCATTAAAAAATGGGAACATAGTTTGTCATCATGTAAATTTCTTTTCAATAGCGCTGCTATGTCAATGTTTTAGCACTTCCACATCTACTATAAAGCAATATTTTTTTATTTTTTATTTTTTACATTTTAAGAAACCTTTACATAAGAGACAGGAATCTGTCTTTTAATTATTGGTGATTTTATTTAGTTTCCATAGAAAGATTGCTGTCATTTCATGGTAAACTAAAGATGATGGAAAGGAATGGTTAAGAATGAAAAGATAATAAAATTTTCTTCTGCTCTGAAAAAAAAAGATGGAGGCAAATTATCTATGAATCAGACTAAATGGAAGGCAGCAAGAGTTTCTTGGAAGAATGGTTGAGTTCAATGTCAGAGAGGAGTTTATAGAAGAGAGATATGAGAAAATGAAAGATAGTAAAAGGAAAACTCGGATAATATTATTCATACTGAACAATTGATGTTTGAGGGGTAAGGATTTGCTCCCAAGATGTAGGATCTCTATTCACTTCACAGATTGTTTCTTTTGCTGAAAAGAAACTTTTTAGTTTGAATTCATCCCATTTATTGATTCTTGATTTTAATTCTTACACCACAGGAGTCTTATTAAGGAAGTTGGGGCCTAATTCGACATGATGGAGGTTTAGGCCTACTTTTTCTTCTATTAGACGCAGGGTCTCAGGTTGTATTCCTAAGTCCTTAATCCATTTTGAGTTGAGTTTTGTGCATGGTGAGACACAGGGGTTTAATTTCATTTTGTTGCATATGGATTTCCAGTTTTCTCAGTACCACTTGTTAAAGAGGCTATCTTTTCTCCAATGCGTGTTTTTGGCGCCTTTGTCTAATATAAGATAATCTCTAGGTTATATAAAGAACTCAAAAAGTTAAACATCAAAAAAACGAATAATCCAATCAATAAATGGGCCAAGGACTCGAACAGACATTTCTCAGAAGATGATATACAATCAACAAATGTATGAAAAAAAATGCTAATCATCACTAGAAATTAGAGAAATACAAATCAAAAGTACTCTAAGATTTTATTTCACTCCAGTCAGAATGGCAGCTATTATGAATACAAACAATAAGTGTTGGTGAGGATGTGGGGAAAAAGGCACACTCATACACTGCTGGTGGGACTACAAATAGGTACAGCCAATATGGAAAGCAGTATGGAGAATCCTTGGAAAATGGGGAATGGAACCACCATTTGACCCAGCTATCCCACTCCTCAGTCTATACCTAAAGGACTTAAAGACAGCATACTACAGGGACACAGCCACATCAATGTTTATAGGAGCACAATTCCCAATAGCTAAATTGTGGAACCAACCTAGATGCCCTTCAATAGATGAATGGATAAAGAAAATGTGGTATATATACATAATGGAATATTACTCAGCAATAAAAGAGAATAAAATCATGGCATTTGCAGGTAAATGGATGGAGTTAGAGAAGATAACGCTAAGTGAAGTTAGCCAATCCCCAAAAAACAAATGCTGAATGTTTTCTTTGATATAAGGAGGCTGATTCTAGTGGGGCAGGGAGGAGGACCATGGGAGGAATGGATGAACTCTAGATAGGGCAGAGGGGTGGGAGGGGAAGGGAGGGGGCATCAGGTTAGAAATGATGGTAGAATGTGATGAATAAATATTATTATATAAAGTACATGTATGAAGACATGAATTGGTCTGAATATACTTTGTATACAATCAGAGATATGAAAAATTGTGTTCTACATGTGTAATAAGAATTGTAATGCATTCTGATGTCATATATAAATTTAAAAACTAATTAAAATTTTAAAAAGAGCTAATAAATTAAAAAATACAGTGTAAAAAAGTGATTAAAAACAAAGACAAAGCAAGAAATAAACAGCTCACAGGTGCAATGAGATGTGAAATCAAGAGAGGGTTTTTAAGATGACAGACATTCAAAAATCTTTCCATATTATTGGAAGTAGTATATACGAAAAGCAGAATATGTTGTCTGAGAGGAGAGACAGGATATAAGAAAAGGTATGATCCTGGACATAAGTAGAAAAGATTTTCCTTACTGAGGATAAAGAAAAGAATATTAATTGGAAGAGTTTACAATGAAGTAGTAATTTGGTGGTGAGATTTAGGATGACAAGTTTGCTTTATTGAGAGGAGTTGGGTCCTCCCTTCATGTGAATGGAAATCAGCACTAAGAAGCTTCGATTCAGCTGGAGTCAAACAACTGGCCCCACCCAGGACACCACTCACCAGTGTTCTGCCCTGCCAGACGGTTCATCAAGTAGGATTTTCCCGTACGATACAGTCCAACAATGGCCACCACTATCACTGGCTGAGAAATCTTCTCAAGAATCTGTATAGCCTGCTGGTTCACCATCAGCTGCTCATTGTTGTTTTCCACCAGACAAATTGGGGCTGACATTTCTGGTCCAGATGCCATAGCAACCTGCTAACCTGGAAGAGCATCCCAGGAGAAATGAGATTACAAAATCATTCTCTGCCTCAGAGCTATCCAAGCACCATCAACTTAGGACTGATGAGACTTCTGCATTTTGTATGGGACAACACTTATCTGAACATGAGCAGACTGCAGAAGGTCTCCTCCATCATTCCCCCAAACCTCTAATGACATTTGGAATTATCTAAAGTTGTACTTCAATTGTAATAATAAAACCCAAGGCATTATTACATAATAAGAGGCCTAAGATAAGCTGTGTCTCTAACCTTATTGATATTTAAAAGTAACGCAAATTTGAAATTATTATCTTTACTTTGGAAATGAAATAAGTGAATTTCACAAAGGCTTAGTGATTAAGTCATACAGGCACAATTAAGAACCTAGAAAATCAAACTAAAAATGGCCAACTTGAAAGTTCTAAGCCCTAATTTCCTCCATGGAGACATTATCAAAAAAAAAAAAAAGCTCTAAAATGGTTATAGTAATCTTATAGGAACTCTGAAAAAAAAGATGAAAAGTCAAATGAGATAAAGCTGAATTCATAATGGTAGGAATTCCATGGTGTCAGCCTGCTCATTTGCAATCCATTCCCCCAGAATGGCAAAGTCTTTCCTGAATAGCATGAAAACATATTTAGCATCACTAATAACTAGTATAAAAGAAAAATCTGAGGCACAATACATTTTAAAGAGTTTATTTGAATAAATTATTTTTCATGAACTGAGGAACAGATTGAAAGACAGTGTTGGTGTTGGCATTTGTGTTCTGTTGGGCAAGTGTCAGAGGCAAGTATTTATTAAGAAAATGTCAAAGCAATGTAAAGACATTATTTGAAAGGGTTTAGCAACAAAACCATTATTTTGTAGTTACAAAAATCCTGATTTTGTGATACTTTCTTTGAAAGTTTTTAGTCACATAACCATGTTAGAGGGCTGCTTATTAATAGTGTTAAATTTTGTTTTTCTCTTAAATAAGTATTTATGTGAAATGACTCAAGATTAGTGTTGCTTAATTTTGGAGGTTAAGCAAGGATAAGGCTATTTTTAAGGCCTACTTGGTTTTGCTTGTTCAGTATTTTTCATGTCTGGTCTCCATTTTAATTTTGCATTAACATTAATGAAATGCAAATCAAAGCCATAACAAAGTGTCACTTCACACCCATGAGGATTGCTACAGTAAAAATTTAAACAAAATATGAGTTAGTTTTAGGATGTGGAGAAATTAGAAATTGGTAGCAGAAACATAAAGTGGAAAAAATCTGATGATTCATCAAAAAAATTAAACCCAACATTAGCATTTGTTCCAACAATTCCACATTTGAGTACATACAGCACACACACACACACAAAAGCAAAAAATAAAAACAATCAAGTCAAGGACTTGAACAGAGAACTATACCCATAATTATGACAGCATTATTCACAAGAATCAAAGTGTGGAAACACTCAAATTTTCATTGGTAGATAAACAGATTAACAAAGTATCCAATTCTGTACAATGGAATGTAATCACCCATAAAAAGAGGTGAAGCCCTGAAACATACCCCAACATTGATAAATTTTAAGGACATGATGCTAAGTGATATAACCCAGACACAGAAAGACAAATATATACTTCTGCTTATGTGAGGTACCTGATAAAGCCCAATACATCTAACAGAAAAAGTAGAGTAGCGATTATTATGTGCTGTTGGGAGGAAGAATGGGGGATCACTATTTAAAAGGTACAGAGTTTAGGTCTGGATTGTTGAAAAAGTGCTGGAGATGTTTAGTGGGAGTAGTCGCACAACAATGTGAAACACTCATGTCCCCAAACTGTACTCTGAAGAAGTACAGAGAATTCTTAATCCAGTAAATTTTGCAATGTACAGTTTACCACCAAAAGGGGGAGGAGGAGGAGGAGGAGGAGGAGGAGGAGGAGGAGGAGGAGGAGGAGGAGGAAGAGGAGGAGGAGGAGGAGGGGGAGGAGGAAGAGGAGGAGGAGGAGGAGGAGAAGAAGAAGAGGAGGAAGAAGAGAAAGAAGAAGAAAAATTAATAATCTTGGATATTATGAAAATCTATTTCTCTGTGCTATGTTATAACAACCACCTGGAAGAAAATCCTCCTCAAAGACATTGATTATGCTAGAAGTTCTTTGAACAGTAGCTTGCACTAGCTTTGGAATGACCAAAACATATTCTTGAATGCACCAGTGTGACTTAAGTGCACTTTTATTTCCAGGATTAGAGGAGTGTTGGTAATGGGGGCTGGAAGCCCTGGGAATGAGGCTTGAACAGAGACAAGAGAATCAACTTGAGCCCCTGAGACCAGGGTGGGGAACATAGTGAGATCCATTCTCAAACAAATAAACATAAAGAGATGGGGATGCAGGAGAATGTCTGGAATTTTAAGAATTCAGATACAGCCTGTACTAATTGAGAAGGATCCAGTTCTCTGCAACCTACTCCCATGGATGAGAATTAAAATGCATATAATATTGTATCTCTTTAGTGAAACAAAGGGGAAAGCATAGGAGATTTCATTGTCATTTATTTTTAGATAAAAGTTTAATGTAATAAATGAACTACTCTGTGTCTAATTACTTATCCCATGCATCTCCTGGCACATTTTTTGTTTTCACTACATTAAAATGCTTTTCTATGATAACTGCTTATTTTTTTAATTCTTGGGAATGCAAGCATAATGTTGCATAGAAATGTCACCTATATTCAGTTTTATAATTATTTGTTAAATATTCAAGATGCATCTAGTGCCATCAAAATTATCAGCTCTATCATTTACTACTAGAGTGGACTTTATCAAAGAGTTTCCTTTATTTGAGCCTAAGTTCTTTAGGATAATTATAGAGCTAATGTGAGTAAAATTAAGGTTGAATCTGATTGTTAAATGAGACACCACAAACATATCTTAGCATAGTATGAAACACAAAATATGAATTCACTAAATGTCAAGTTAGATGAAAATTAAATTATAATTACAATAAGCAAATGGGCTCATTAGATTATATATTTCAACAAAATCTGTATACTATGAATTACAAAAAATAAAATTACCATTAAATTTTTCAGCAGACAGAATAGTAGTCAAGTTCAAACATACTGTTCCTGTATGACAACCTCTTGTCTGCTTCTTCAGTATAAGGAGTGGGGCATATGGAGGTAAAACGTGAACTCCTAGCACCTACAATTATAATTCCTGGAACTGTGTGCTCCCTTCTCTGAAGTAAGGATCAAAGGCAGGCCTAGGATGATGTAGCTGTTAACTGCAATCATTTTTATATACATCTCTGGTCTCTTGGCTTTAAATGAAGCCTGGGACTTTTAAATTCAAATTATTCTATTTGATCCCATTCAAAATGTTTTTCATTATACATAAGATTCACTCTAAGCTATTGTTAAAATGTAGATTCCCAGCTAGCGATGTGTCTCAGTAGTAGAGTGATTACCTAGCATGCAAGAGGTCCCCAGCACCATCACCACCAAAAAAAAAAAAAAAGAATTCCTAGTGCTGTGATGCACACATAATCCGAACAACTTGAGAGGCTGAGGCAGGAGGTTCATAAATTTGAGGGCAGCCTCAGCAATGTAGTGAGACCCTGTCTCATAATTTAAAAACAAAGCACTTGATATGTGGCTCAGTAGTGCAAAGATTCTGGGTGCAATCCTCACTATCAAAATTTTTTTAATTAAAATCTAGATTCCAAAGCCTAAGTATTTACACCTAACAAATGCTACAGGGGACTCTGAGGTCCCTGTGAGAAACAAACATCACATATATGCACATACGAAGTTTTGACTATGAAGTTATTTTGAACTAATAAAAATTTGAACTAATAATGTAAAAATGATAAATCAAGTCAAGGTAAAGACTGAATTGCATGTTTAAAAAAAAAAATACCTTCTCCCAGCACCAGAGATTCCAGCGCAGTTCTCAGCTGCCTCACACTCACTCCTTGCTGTTTTTCTCTCTTCTACTTGTCTGCCACCCTTTACATAGCTATAAAAACAAACAAAAGAAAAACATAAAAATACTTAGAAAACTCATCCTTTCCACAAATGGAATGCTGCAGTAAAACTGAAATTGAAAGTGAATAATTTATACTGTTTTTTTCACTGATTAGAATGAGTTTGCCCGTTAGTGAACGCAGAGCCAAAAAGCACAACCAGGAGATAAGAGCAAAGGAAGCCCTAGTACTCACACCCAGTAAAGAGAGCACTGGGGATATTATCCAAAACACTGTCTGTTTTATTGTAGAAACTTATGCATATTCATATTGGAAAGACTCGGACGTCATCACTTGAGAGATGGGCACATTTCTGAGCATGCTCAGTTAGAGACCATGCCGCCTCTTACATTCAAAGGTTCAAAGGTGGAAACAGGTCACCTTTGGGATGATGGAGAATTTAGAATTATAATGGGATTATAATGTGGAAAGTTTACTCTAGGCTACCTAGAAAAATGACTAGGTGATTTTGGCTAGTTTAAATGATGCCTTGTGGTTTTTTCTGGCAGGCCTTATCTGAAACAAGAAGACAACTTAGCAGCTTCTTTGCCAGAAAGTGCTGGTACTTGCCCCCAAAGTTCCTGCCTAGAAGTTGGCATCATTAAAGGTAGCAAAGGCATGTCTGGAACATCTGAGCCGAGCTCAAATATGAATGTTTGGTGCAGAGGTGAGAGGTCAGAAAAGCCACAGACACTCCACTGTTATACCCAGGCAACACAATCCTGCCAGGTTTTATTTGTCCTCCTCTTAGAAGCTTTCACAAGATCCTTTCAGAATTCATCTCTCAGGCTGGCTTAAGATTCCTGAACACACAAGGAATATAGAAAATCCATGGCATAAATGTTTACCAAGATATTATTTCAAATCATTTCTTCTTTTAAAACATTATTTACTTAATGGAAATTCCTAGAAGTTTTATTAATAAAGACTTTTAGTAAATTTTAACATATTTTTTCATAAAATAAGGAACATTAAACAGA